AATTCTGCTTTCCTTTTGTGAGCAGAAGAAGAAAAATTGTTTAAAAACAGGAATTAATGATATAATCAAACACATATATATGCTTTAATTTGTCTTCTAAACAGTTCATGAAACCAGAAAGGCAGATGGTTTCATTTTAAACATGAAGGTGAAGGTCTTTGTTCAAAATTAGGATGAAAAGCTGGCAGAAGTGGGGACTCCTGGCCTTCTCCTGCCCTATCTTCCTTCTTCCGGATATTTCTCCTCTCATTGTTTTCATAGCTATATTTCCCCTCAGTTCATTCAACAAACTCTATGAAGCATTTATAGCATCTTAGACAAAGCAGGAAGCTCACGGAGGGGCCCAGAGATGGGAGCGACAGTTCTTGTCTCTTATGTCTTTGCTTTCTGGTAGAGATGAGCATGAAAGGTTGACAAAAGAAATCTCAATGGAACACGAAAAGTGGCAGCCTGTACAGAGCATCCTGAGTTTCAGAGAATGGAATGACTAATTCCACAGCAGGGGCGGGAGATGATCAGAAAAAAGTTACAGAGAAGAGATGACGTTTAACTTGCAACTTGCTGTCTGGCATAGGAGTTAAGAGCCCAGGCTCCTAAATTTTGCAGGCCTAAAGGAATGGTGGTTTTCATTAACCCATACTGTGGACTTTGACAGATTACTTATCTCACCACTGACTCAACATAAAATGGGGGTCATCATCATCTACCTTGAAGTAAAGTATTTAAGAATAGCCCATTGTAACTTGAAACTAGAGCTTTGATCACCAGTATCCATTGTAATAATGCTACCCTTCTCACCCCAAATGAAACTGGTTTCCTGTGCTAGATGTTATGAATAGTATCCCAGGCTGAAGGAGCAGCATGTGCAAAGTCCCTAATTATAATGGCCCCTGACCTTTTAGACAGTGGCAAGGAGGTGAGTATAGGGAGATGAGCTAGCTGGAGGTTAGGTATGGCTGCTGGGTGGAAGTCAGATTGCTGAGGAGCCTTCTTTGTGCAGCAAAGCAGTTTCATGTCCTATGAATGGGAGAAAATAATTAGGGACAGAAAAGTCTGGGAATAACGTGGCCGAGTATATTTCTTAGATTCCCCAGGCAACTGCAACAAAGCTGGAAATCAGGAGGCACAAGTAGATCTTGAAGGCCAGGCCAGGGTCCACATGGAAATGATAAGGGCTCACGATGATGAAATCTTGCAGGGCAAAGCACTCAGGTCTTTCTAGATGTTGGACAGTGCAAGGTGAGGAAAGCAGTTGGATTCTCAGGGAGCTTAACATACAGGGAAGAAAGGGGACAATGGTGACACATAGTAATAAGAGAGTACATAAGAGTTCTAAGAAGATTGAAAGCAGGCTGATACAACCTCCAAGTGGGACACATCAGAAAAGGACACCAGCTTATTGTGGGAGGCCCCAGTGACCCACAGCCTACTGAGGTCAACGTTACATCAGTGTCCTTGACTCCTGGGCTGACACAGAGAAGGGGCTGGACAACTGCACACCAAAGGAAGTTATTATAGACAGAGGCTCATCTGTGATGTATTTTCTGAGCTAGTGAGTATGTAGTAGCAGAAGTGGTCAATCTCAGAAATGCATTCTGGGCCAGGAGCATAAGTTTGTGAATATTGGTGTTTTGCTCTCTTTGACCCTTCATTTGTAACTACTAAAGGTAATTGTTGCATTTGAGAAAAACTCAAGCAAACAGAAAATAGTGACAGCCACAGTTACCTTCTGGTCCCTTTAGTCAACTGTGAATGTCTGCTGTTGGATGGAGTTCTCAGTTGGTGTGCTTGGTAGAAGACCGCTGTGAACTGCTCTGGAGCTCAGTGATTAAAATGACTCAGCCTCTGTGGCTCCTGAAAAAAGAGACTTTTCTCCTAGCATAATATGATGTCACAGCATTGTGCTTGCTACCTGGGAAACCAAGCCAGAGTGCCGAGTGGAGGTCACTGTGTCTGACATTCTAAATTAATGTATATTGAGGTTTGGTCAGAAGAAAAATTAGGGGTTTCATTTGAGTGAAATTTAATATACTTATGGACTTTGAGAATTTGTGAAAGCTATTCATGATAATGAAGCTTTTTATTTGCTTTGGAGCAAATAATCCTTTGGTGTGATTTTTATTGTCTTTGCACTTTAGTAGTGGTTGATGCCAAGGCAAAATGCTTTTCCCAAAATGTTCTTTTCGCTAGGTCCTGTCTCTTTTAAATCACATTTTGTCTGAAATGGACTAGGTCATATGTAATAAATGTTGGCATTTTAATAGAAACATTACAGTGAAAATAGTTAACAATCTGCTTTAATTTCAAAACTCATTTTCTCTCTCCTACTGTAAGGCAGTATCTTGGTGAAATGTGCAAAATGCACTGGGATTTAATTATGATGCCAATTTATTCTGAAACAAGGTTAAACTGAGCTGTCAATATTCAGGATAAAGGTACAGGGAGAAGACAGTAGTGTCTTGATGATTCTGGAGTCCTGCCCATAGACCTCAGTGGAGTTAAAAGCCTTGGGCACATCACCTGCTAACGGCCCCAATCCTGGGAGCTCAGAGACAGAAGTTGTATATGCTAATAGTGCCATCCCCACATAGAGACTGATAGACAAAGGAAAGACTGGGGACCATTTTTAAGGTCTAGGCAAGATAAAGTATCCTCAGACCCTGTGGGAGTTGTCAGCATGATGGAGCCAACAAGTCCAAGGAGAATTACCTCAACTGGAGGGCAGCCAGATGGCATTCCTGTGCCAGGACCTTACTGGAGAAATGGGGCAGGTCCTGCAGAGTATCTGCATCACAGTGACAGACCTGATCTTAACTTCCTGGGCTTATCAGGAAGCCACTGAGTGATTTCAACAGAAAGAGTGACATGGTTCCAATCTAAATGTTACAGTTCTTACTTTAGCTGCTATGTAGAGAATGCACAAGAAGGGACAGAGGGTGAATGAGGGGACAGCCCTGGGATAGTTTCTGTACAAGTCAGTTGAGACAGGAAGAGGGGTTGAAACAGGATGCTCATGATGGGGAACATGCTGCCCCAGGGACTGCTGATCTGGGAACCTGGCTTCGCCTGGCAATGACAAATCTGAGCTCTGTGTGTTGCCAGCAGATGCAGCCCAACTCTTCGTGGGCTAAAGCTTCTGCAGGAAGCTGGGAGAAATCATATATTTGTGAACACTCAAGGGGAGAGGTAGTATGAGATGTTTAATAGGAATATGAACTGTAAAACAGAAGAAGAAGGAAAGAGAATTGAGTTAAAGTACCCCCCGAAAGGGACTATGATCATTAGACTGGTTATATATAACTGACACACTGTGCAATCAGTTTTGGGTTTGTGTGCTTCAGCCCTTTTCTCTCTCTTTCTTTCTTTGGGAGGGGGTGGTTTGAGACAGTCTTGCTCTGTAGCTCAGGCTGGCCTACTGCTCACAGTGATCCTCTTGCTCCAATGCCCCAAGTGCTAGGATTACAGGCATGCACCACCCACTGCCTGCCTCCAGCCCCTTTCCTGCTCCATGAGCATAATGATCATAAAACATCTTAGGCTCCTGGAACTTAAAAAAAGCAGGATCATTTTTAGCGTATAGCAAGTTGCCTTGAGCAGGGTAAATTAGAGCCTTTTCAAGTGGAGTGTATATTGAGGACTCTGTTCGGCTAATGAGTGAGTTTCAAATCTAGCCTCAGTCATTTCTGGAATGGCTGGATGCCTCATACATTCCTCCACCTACTGCTTGCTCCCAGCCATTACTGCTGCAAACCCGGGAGCAGATCACCTATCCTTACTTAATGACCTGCTAGTGTAGGTGGAAGTGAACCAGCTCTTGAAGTCTCCTTCACTGCTGGGATACTTGATTCCATGCCACAAATTTCCTTGAAGTGCTACAGTATGCTATGGTTTCATGTGCCTGGATAGTCTTCAGAGCCATGGACTGCTTGGTTATTTAACATGCATTGTCCTGGTTTCTGGGAGCTCCAGTAAAGCCAGGAAGAATTTGTTCCTTGCTCTGGGAAAAATAATACTCTTTCTGACACTAACTGTAGCTTCCTGGAAGTATCTTCCTTCCTCTTTCCAAATTTACTTCACCAGCAAATAAATGCACAAGTATGTGTTTGTTTCGCAGTTGCTGTGTGCCCTGCCTCTTGCTTAGGGCTTTCTCTCTCTCAGCTAATTGGCAGGACACCTTTGTAAGGCAGGTGTCCTTTATATAAAGAGGAACCAGAGGCTGGCAGAGGTTGTCTGAGGTCACTCATCAAAAAGGTAAAAGAAGGCTATCAAGCCCAAGACTTCTGACTCCATGCTCAGTAATTTGTGTTGTTTTTGCTGCCCTTAAATTGATACTTCCCGAGTGAAAGACTAATAATCTGGGTATAAACAAGATGGGCTTCATGGACAAGACTGAAAAACACCCAACTCATACGAAGAGAAAGTTGTTTTCTTTTCACTTCTTTCCCAAACATCCTGATTAGTCAAGTAGAAAATGGATTTGGTGTTAATGTGATTTTAGTATTCATTGAATATTTGCAAATATCACCTTTTTTTTTTTTTTCAGAGAGCCACTCACAGGCTTAGGGTTCTCAATCCTCAGAAGTGTAAATATTTCTGAACTTAATGAAATTACTTTTATTTCATCTTCTGTCTTTGGAACATCATTTAGTTTTCCCTGTGTTGGTGATACAAAGATACTTTTTGAGAAAAATGAGGCAAAAAATACTGAATAAATTAAAGTTGGGGTATATAGGCATAATGATACAATTCATGAATGTGTGTCCATCCCCATGAATTCAACTGGGAATGGTCACACTGATGGGTTGATGCTACCTCCCTTGCTCCCAGGATGCATAGGGTTATGTATGGTCATTGTGGTGCTAAGGTCTGCACCTGTTGTTTATCCCTGAGATCTGTGTTAAAGCTATTATAATGAAAACCACTTGGTTGAAGGTCCTTTGAGACTTCCTTCTTGAGTTTAAATTTTATAACCCAAATCAACTCAAGCTAATAATGCAGTCTAGGAAAAATATGGAAGTTTATTGCAAAAGATAATATCCCATTTAAAATAGTTTAGAAATTTACAAAACCTTATGTTAGTACATCGTCTTTAAGAAGGTGCTCTATAGATGAGCTGGTATTAAGTTCCAAGGATAGCGAGTACACATTTTTTTAACTACAGAGAAAGCAGCTACATAAACTTCTGGGATTTAAGTTGATACATCAGTCATTTCTCCTTCAATTTTATAAAAGTAATTTTTGCTAAATTAATCTCTTTCCATGAAACCATATAACCTCAAGTATAGCATTTCTATAGATTATTGTGGTAGATGTTACATAGTATTTTACAAAGAAGCAGTGGTTTTCACATGGGTAGATGAGTGGAATTTTGGTATATGTATGTGCAGATTTTTAAACATAGAAATGATCCTTTATATTCATCAAGAAGGTGTTTATCACATCCCTATTCCTTGTAATGTTTACAAATGTTCAATTTTCAAAAGGGACTTCCTTCCCAGTTTCAGGTAGGTGGTCCAAGTAATGTGGTGTTGTGCTTTGGTATAGAATCATTATAGCCTTGGTTTGTTTTGTTTCTAGAAATGTCAACATATTCCAGTCCCAATTTTATTTACTTCAGTTAAGGGTTTATGAAGGGCCCACAACTCAACTCAACTTATACGTATGACTCAATAAGCTTTTTGATTTTGTGTGTTACCTCCAACTTGTCTCATCATTCTCCGCTAACTGTGGCGAATGCACCAGCTCAACTCTGAGTGGTTCCACTCATCTGACATTAAAAGGTACACATAACTTGTAAGGAGGGTAAAGAATGCCGTTGTTCCTGTCTTCATTCAAGAATGAACAAACAGGCACTGAAAACCTAAGCAACATGCCCCAGCTTAGTGCAATAGACTGTTCTAGTGCCTGGTCTCTTAATTCTACGAACAGGATTATTTTCATTCCAGCATGATACCCAAGAATATAAATTCACTCAAAATTAATGTAAGCAAAGCAAATTAAGATGGAAGCTCTACAAGATAAAATTACATAAGAGATCCCAAATGATTTTGCGTTATTGGATTATCCTCTGTGCTGTTCTTTTCCATTGCTGGAGCCAAGTGAGAGTTGGTTGTATGGATACAGAAAGAAAGATCTGTGGCTTTTAGCCAGTAGTAGCATATCTTATTGAAATGTGGTTTCTCAAGTATGACAAGTGTATTTATCTTAATTCTAACTTGATGTTATGTATTCTGGTCTCATTTTGTGGGTTTAAACATTACACTAGAAACAGAACAAGAACATCTTGAATGACATTCCAAGACTTAAATAGTGCAAGTGGAGACACCTTGCCAACTTTCCCTCTTACTCTCCCTCGAATAGCTTTGTGCACTGCAGCACTGTGACAGGAAAAGGTGAAACTGTTGAGTGGTTTGCTCAATTAGTCTCGATTTGCAGTGGGGTGTGCACATCCCACATAATCACAGAGTGCTGGGTTCTGCAGAGACTCTCCCTAAGACACTGGCACTGGCAAGGGGGCGGGGTGTGAAATGCCTTCTTAATTTAAGGTATGGTTATCTTTAGGATCCCTTTCTTGCAGCATCAGTCCTACTAGGGGCTGGCAAAGAATTTCATTCAATGCAGAGGAATCTGAGCCTTTCTAGCCTTCCCTCCTCCCTAAGCTATGTAGCAGTTACTTATAGTTCATTCAGCCATGCAGGTTTGACTGGGTTCCTGTGTATGGAGATCTTTTTGAAAGAGTGAGCCACTCCTTAAAGAACTCAGACTTTGGGAAAGAAAGGTCTTTAATATGAAAATGGCAAAAGCTACATCCTCAGCCCCAGTCCTGCTGCTTCAATTGGGTGCCTGTTGTCTGATCACTGGGAAGGGACACTGTATAGATTTATATATGTATATAGGGTGTCACAGGAATTAATGGATAGAAAGGAGTGTTGTGTTTTTTCTTAGCCTTATGTAAGTCACTGAAAAGATAAACCAACAGGCTACACAACCTCATGATCTTCAACACTGCAGATAAACTAACTCCAAAGGAAAATTCAAACTGCAGCTTGATTTACCCTCCCCTCTTCCGACAGGCTTGGGCCCTAGGAAGAGACACATGTTGTTAGGTGGCCCTGGAAAAGCTACAACTGTGAAACCCTCTCTGGATTCCAGTCTCGCAGGATGGTCATACCAAGTCTGGATATCCTGGGCAACCTTACAGTGCCACAGACTGTGTGGCACATACATCATGAGATGAAAGCTCCTTGATTTGGAATCAAGGGCTCCTTATACATGAAAATGACCCCAACACACCAGAGTGATCTTTGAAGTTTATGCCCTGTCCACTTGTGTTGTGCTTATGTATGCTGACATTTTAGGAAATTGCCAGGCTATTTATCTAATTGAGGAGGGGTATCTGCTTATAACCCTCCTCTGTCTTTCTGCTCTGCACAACATGGATTTATTTCTTTTTTCCTTTGGTCTGATGGCCCTCTGATGAGTAGGAAATGCTTAGCCTCAAAGAGGTGTTGGAGAGTGAAGTGGGGGTTTTGCTTATGGGGAACTTGGCATTAACAGACCAGGATGAAACCTGGCCATATGTGACAGGGAATTCAGCAGTGGTCACTCCAATGTCCATAAAGTCCTCAGCAAGCAGTGGTGCACACCTAGTAAGGCTGGCAATCAGTGTCCAGCAGTGCCACACCAACTCACACTTTCTTGTTCCACAGGTCAAGGGCTCTCAGCTGGGGCCTTTGCAAAGGACTAGCATAAGGCCTTGGGAGCAGTGAGTCCCTGTGAGAGGGAGCAGAGTAGAGAGGCCAAGGGATGGTCCCAGTGAGCTCAGATCCACCAAAAGCATTTTTTCTTCACTTTCTTGGTTTTCCGTCGCAAGTCTTGTTTCTCAGGAGCTGGGGGTTCTGCTGGGGACTTTAGTGGGGAAGAGGGCTCCTCAACTGGTTCCACCTCGTCCAGGCTTTGCAGAACTTCATGAAACCTACCTTCCTGCTGCCGAAAGTCATATTCCACACTGAAAAACACAGAGAGCAAGGAAGGGAGGCAAACTCAAATCAGTACACACAGCATCACCAGGCATCCAGTTAGCATGGAAGAGCGTGGTTGTAAGTCCTGAGTGACCTCCTGGCTGTATGCCGATAGGAGAGCTGTACCTCTCTGAACCTCCAGTCTGCATCAGTTAAATTGGCCCCCATCGCTTTCCCTTGTGGGGAATTTATTAAGTGTAGCAAAGACTTGAAACATGGCAGCCTGATGATAGGTACTCAATAAATACTGCTCCTGTCTCACTCTTGTATGTGTTTAATGCTTCTCATTGTTAATATTGTTTTTATATATTTTTCATGAAAATTTCCTCATTATGAAATGTTTAAATAGCATAATATATAATATAATAATAGTAGTCGTAGTAATAATAATAATAATAACAATAACATATAATAAAGCTGAACTCAGTTTTGTCACCTGTAAAATGAAAGTAATCATTGCACCTATCGCAAAGTCTTTCTTTGGAATTATTGGGTTTAAATTGAGCTGATAGAAATCATGTGCCCGGAAGAGTGTCTGGCCTTTTCCTCTATGTGTTAACTCCTACTACTGTTTTTATCATCATGAGAATTATCACTACTGATGTCCCATGCCTTGGTCTTTAAATTTCTTAGCAAAAATGTGTGTCGCACAACTACTGCCTCTTGCTACTCCTCATTAAAGATAGATTTAAATATTCTACTGATGATCATTTCCAAACACCTCCCTTTTCTGTTATTTTATTTTTACATTTTGAAGTAATTAATGTCCAGACTCCATTGTATTCTGCTACCTAACACATGATTCTGTGAAGTAAACATGAAGCCTAGCCCAGGGCCTTTGCAGAAATGCAGAGGGATCCTTAAGGGCTGTGTTTCAAGGAGCAGCATAACCAAAGTCTAGGCATCTAGGAGTGGGATTAGAACTCAGGTCTGGGAGGGGTGAGAGCTGATGTTACCCTTGACCTCTGTATTTGAGGAACCATGCAAGTAGCTCTCAAGGACTCTCAGCCTGCCTTAGGACTCTGCTTGGCTGCCCCAGAACCCAAGGAGCAAGATCACAGGAAACAAATCCTCTTAGAAAGCCCTGCAGGCTGTGCAGGGCTCCCTGTAGCCTTAATTGTTCACTTTCCTCCCTAGCACATTGACTTTGGAGGAGATTTAAGTCGCAGGGTGCTTGTAGGGAGGCTTTTAAGCTTTTAGGTGTGTTTGTTACCTGGTTTCATCCCAGGGCTCTCAGAAGTTCCAAGGATGAGGAGCCAGCATGGGAGTGTAGAAAAGGGAGGAAATGCAGAGTCATGAAAACAGTGCACGCTCCTTGTTTAGCCAGGAGGAAAATGAAAGGTTGTGTGTGGAAGACGAAAGACCTCATATTGCTTTGTGATGTGGCAGGGCTGGCGAAGGCCTTTGTACCCAGCAAGGGATGAAAAGCAGCCATCATTAGAGGGCCACCTGCCCTTGTCTACTATCTGTGTGCCACCTCCTAGAGCTCAGGATCACAGTGAGTGCCGCTGAAAAGATAAATCACCATTGCTATGTGTGACTAATGAAGCCCCAAACGGTGCCTTGTCACCAAGAATTCTAAGTTAGCAGAGGCAGGCAGAAAAGACAGAAGGGCAGAATGGCCTATTGTGTAGCTGGAAAGATGAATTATCAACTCTCAGGGAGCACTGGGGAAGGAGACCTAACGGTTTCTTTTCTCTGCTTTTGATAAGCATCACCCAGATTTTCCTCTCTTCTACTTTCATCCTTTCTCTTTCTCTTCCTTCCTGGTCCCTCTTCATAGGGACATAATCCTAGTTAGGTGACACAAATCATGAATGGAATACAGGCAGTGTTTTTTTTTTGTTTGTTTGTTTTTTTTTTTTTTTTTTTTAATTTTGATGGTACTGGGGATCGAACTCACAACCTCTGTGAGGTCGCTTAGGCCATTGAGCTAACTCCCCAGTCCAGGCTGTTTTTTAAAGCAGAGATTTATAGTTCATCAACTGTGAGATCTTGGGGAAGTCATTCCCTGTTTTCATGCAGTGATGTACTCATCTGTGGAATGAGTGTGGTACCTACTCCAAGGACCTCAGTTAAGTTTAAACATGTGCATAGATAGCATGCAGCACAACAAGGCACCAATGTTCAGTCATTTGGCAAACTCTGACTGATCATCTTCCATGTCCCAGGCCCTGTCCTTAATTCTGAGAAAGGAGGAGTAGAGAGACTGATACTCTCCCTGCAGTTCCCTGCATTGCAGTTGGCAATGCTAATCTAGTGGCGTTGTGTCTTCAGTCAGTGCTAGCCCATGCCAGTGATGATTAGAGACTTTTCTGTGAAAGCCAAGGACTTCCCAGGTCAGGAGGTGAGGGCATCCACAGACTGGCACACTTTGAGTCTCACAATTCCGGATGCACCACTTGGTACAGAGGCGCCCTGATTTGTCTTGAGGGGTGGAGCAGGTTTCCATCTGCATGACCCATGCCTTATGTGCTCCCCAGTGGCTAATGAAGGAGATGGATTCAGAGGCTGGGGAAAGGTTTTCCCAGACAATCTCTGCATAACATCAAGGAAGGAATTTAAAGTGGTGAGTTGTGAACTCCAATTCTTACCACTTGTAGAACTGGGGACATGCATGGTTCGCAGATAGGAAGCATCCATATTCATGGTTCTGTTAGCTCTCAAAACAGCCCTGCCCTACCTGCTGTGACAGAAAAACCATCTTCCTCATAGAACATCAGGTACAGCTCAGGAGAATAGCTATGCGCTGCTCATCCTAGAATTCTCTATACTGGTTGATCCCATCCATCCCCCTGCCCATCCCCTGTGTTAGGTTCTATTGATAGGACAGTGAACTAGGCAGATCTGCATATTATCCCTGTGGACCCTGCTTCCAGTGTTTCTGGTAGCATGTGATTAAACTAACAGTTGATTTCAAAATATGCTTATTTTTCCCAACTACTCTTGCTTTCTAATTCTTCATCCATATGTTCCTAACAAATTGTATGAATGCACACCTGCATGGCCAGCTGCTTTCCCCTCCTTAGATGTGACATTTCTTACTTCATAATACACATAAAGAAACAGACAAACAAGCAACAGTAAACCACCTGAGCTTATTAGATTTGTAAGTGTCCCATTACCTATTAGAAAACATAACTCTTTGCAATTCCAAGATGTATACAGACTTGGAAGACTGGGGGAAAAAGTCAGGAGACAGAATGTAAACTGACAGGTTATCCTAACTGTAAGCACAGCCCACTCTAGAAGATGGAGCATGGGCTTTTGAGCTGAGCACTCAGGGATTTAGAGAGGAACTGCACCTCTTACTGGCTAGGTGACTTTGGGCAAGTTTCTTTGTTCCCTGTAACTCAGCTGAACGTGGAGGTTATAATAGCTACCTTGCTGGGCAGCTGCATTGATGGGACATGATAATAGGCACTATCACCTTATGTGGGACACAGTCTCTGCCCACTCCAGTCTCCTTCCCTCAGTCTTTTATCTTTATATCTTAGGAACCTCCACACTTAAGCCTTTAGCTCTTCAGTAATTGTACACCTTGCCCACAGCAATGTTCCTCACCCTCCCCTTTGTGTACATTCAGGGAAGAATACTCTCTTTGTGTTTCTATGGAAACACAGCAGGGCTCCATTATAATCACTGAGATTCAGGGAGCTCCCCTCCCCCCTCCTGTGACTGCCCCCATTGGTCTTGACAGTTTAAAGGGGATTGAAAGTGACTTTCTTTTCAAGGCCAGGCAAATAGCAGAGTATAGAGAAGTGTGTATGCTTTGGAAAGAAATTGATTAATGTTTTTTAGGCCAAAGCAATTTATTAACATAAAGGAAAATTGTCACCGTTCCCCTTATTCATCCATTTGACAAACTACTGTTTAGTTTGGAGGGGAGGAAAGGGAATACATTTTGGCTTGGTGGCAGCTGCCTTGTAAATGGGGAGGGGACAGTGCTTTCTCTCCCTCATCTGGTTTGCATTTTAAGGTATTTGGAAAAGAGATGCCAAGCCGCATCATGTTCTGTAATCCCTTGAAAAAAGGAATACATTGTCAACTTGGTAAGAATTCAAGTAAATTCTTAGCAGAGGGTTGATTATAGATTCTGGGGATGAATTCTCTGCCTTGGGCTCTGGCCCAAGAATCAAGGTAGGACACCAAGATTCATTCCTGTCTTATGGCCCCTTCTCTTCCTTTATTCCTTCCTTGCCACACCCCCAATCTGGACCATTTCCCTTCATCCACATTCCGTCACACTCCGTATCCATGTGCAACAGCAAGAAGGAAGATGAGTCCTGACTCGTACTTCACGCAGGAACTGGATGTGTAATAGGGGACAAATAGTAGTTAAGTGGTTGTTACAGTGCCGGATCTAGGGCTGTTGCTCTTGAGATAGTCCAGGATTTGTCCTCCTGAGGATGCACAGGCTATAGGACCCCTGGGTGAGGGATGCTAAACTCACTGAGAAGCCTTAGAGCCCATTACATTAAGTACATGTCTGCTCCTGGTGCCACTTGAGGTTTGGAAACTGAGCTGTGTGCAAACCAGAAATGGGTAGAATTTTCAGGTTTCTTTCTTGAGAGCAGCTCACTAATCTAGTGAACAGATCAAGGCTCCAGTAATTATGCCAGGTGTAAGTAGAGGGATGCTTTTCTAGGTAATTAGGAGCAGCCTATGTCATGGGTTGCTTGGACAAAGAAACAGTAAGAAGCAGATAGAAAAAGATAACTAAACATTTAAATTCATGATCAAACAAAAATGTGAGGTTCTAGATGCAGATATTTGGCTAAGAAAGCAGAGATTGGGTGAGCCAAAAGGAGGCATCTATTTACATAGAAACAGAAAAAATAATCTCTCACTTTTATATGACAACTTCAAATTTGCCAAGTTTTAGACTTTTGTCTCATTTTATCCTCAGGATAATGCAGGAAGGTGGGATAATACTATTCCTATTTAATAAACAAGCAAGTTGGCCAAGGGAAGCCACAAATGAGAA